AGGTGAGTTATTTCATGTAATGAGTTTGGGTTCCCAAAGAATAAAATGATGAGAAAAAATGGGTGTAAGTATGGAAAAGAAAGGACTACATTCTTTCTACTCTTCTAAGATTTTATAGAAATCATTTAAAAAGTGACTATAAATGAAAGGATTATCTTTCGACTTTGTGTACTTATTTCCAAACATGATTTTTCGTGTACATTTCATTTCATGTGTATAATTTTTCATTAATTGAAACGTTAACGGGTTCATATAGGCTTCCATAATTGAATTGATGAATATGGGCTTCGTGAATTTTACGATTTGGCAATGTTGATTATTTCTATTGTCCCTATCGGTCAATCGAAAAAGAAGCGGGAATAGGCCCGTGACGTCACCGGCCTACCACATTCGATTTTCAATAATTAATTACGGGAAAACTACGGTACTTGGAGACCTGAAACGAATTGCACTGTTTTTCAATTTGAAATTTCTATCAAGTGAACTCCAAATCAAAAATCATGAAACGAGCCCATTGAGCTTAGACATTCGTCATAAAAGAAGCAAAGTCAACATTATTCATCACAGTGTTATCAACAATGCCGCGAGCAAAAAGTTTGAATCTTCCACAACAAGCTCGTAATGCAATTGGACTGCAGAACACTTGAAATATTGACAGTGGCATACGGTGATTGTACCCTTGGGTCAGGAAAATGTTTACAACTGGTACAAGCTTTTCACAAAAGAAATGACGAAGCTTGCCTTGAGAGTTCTCGCCACATGGTCGCACGGTCAATGACGAGTATTATCTTGAAGTTATACGCCGTTTGTGTGAAGCAATACGAAAAAAACGTCATTGCTCGTTCGTTTTCTTCTGATCAAAAACAACACCGTAATCAATTCAGCCATCGTACTCACCAGATTCGCCCCCCTGCGATTTTTTTCTGTTCCAGAGATTGAGACTATTTCGAGAAGGAGAAAATAGAAATTGATAAGATATTTTTTGACAAAAATAAAAATTTACTTTTTTTCAGCAAACCTCAATTAGTTACTCCACGAACATTCCAAAGTGTGGGGAGTATTGAATTTATTAACGGGCTTCACAGAAATGGTGAACATTTTGAATATTTACTGGGATGAATGGAATTGTCGTTGAAACTACAGGGTGTAACTGAATAAGTGTAAAACATTTGAGGGGGTGATTCCTCATCGAAAAAAAGATAGGATCTTTCATATAAAGGAACTTCATTGGAGTATCCCTCGTTAAGATACAGCCCCTTAAAGAGGGTACATAAAATTTGTATAACAATATTTTTAGCACTGGAAAAGTTACAATATTGAAATGAACCTGACGTTTTGTACTACCAATAAGACACTCAGCCGGTAATCTAATTGGTTTACCCTATGGTTGTAAGGGGTGGAAAACGCAACCCATAAAATTTATTTCCAATGTAACTTTTTGTCTTATTATTTGTTTACCATTTAAAATTTCCGATAGCCTATTTCATTCTTAACAAAAAATGTCTCTTGGTTTTTTCCCAAAATAAACCAGTTGGGAGCAAAAAATTATTTTACGAACAACTACAGAGATACATCGTCATAAATGCGAACTGGATTTATCGTTATTTTGTAGTTAGTACCTGCATTAAACGAATAAAGGGTAATAAACAAAACTAATTCATTAATAACAAAACACACAGCATGTAGAAATCATAGTAAATGTTCAATATGAATACCTTCAGACATTACGCATGCATCTAGATGTCGGCGCATTGAGCCACGTATTTGCTCAAATATTCCTGGAGTCTCTCTGATTACCCTGCACGCATTATTGATGCGGTTTCTTAAGTCCTCTACATCGCGAACAGGAGTACGATAAACCAAATGCTGTAAATGGTCCCAAATAGAGAAATCGGAAGAATTGAGATCCGGGGATCGAGCGGTCCAGTTCTGTGGTCCTCCTCGACCTATCCACTGATTTGCATATTTTTCAGTTAAATGCTGATGTGCTACTTGACTAAAATGAGCGGGAGCCCCATCATGCATAAAAAACATATCCCTTCTGACGCCCAAAGGAACTTCCTCCAGCAGTACTGGATGCACTTTTCTTAAAAATTGAACGTATGCCTCACCATTTAATCGAGGAGGGAGAAAATGAGGCCCAATTAAATCATTTCCAATAACTCCGAGCCACACGTTAAGAGAAAACTGTTCTTGATGGTTAGTTTCGACAATAGCGTGAGGGTTTTCATCAGCCCATATGTGGTAATTATGGAAATTAATAATCTTGTCCCGAGAAAAACTACATTCGTTTGTGAATTCTATCGACTTCAGAAAGTCACAATTTCTTCTAATCATTTCCAGCATACAATTGCCAAATTCAATACGGTTTGGAAAGTCTCGCGGTAACAGTGCCTGTACTCGTTGCAGATAGTAAGGGTATAAGAGTTATTCCTTTAAAATTTGAAATACCGTCATATGATCAACATTTAGCTGGAAAGCAATCTTTCTAGTACTGGTAGTAGGTTGTTCTTCAATCAAATTAGTACTGCTTCCTCAAGCTGTGGTGTTCGTACTTCTCGATGGCGACCACAATCCTGCGTTCTTTTGTCGAATGAACCACATTCTCGTAATCGTTGATGAAGTCGAGCAAATATTCTATGTGAAGGATGCTGCCGTTGAGGATACATTTCAGCATATCTTCTAGAAGCTTCTAACCCATTTCCCGTAAACCGTAAACGGTCTGTCGCAGGGGATGCCATTTTAATAACAAGTGAACAAGAACCAAATTAAGAACAGAACAACAACAGACAATTAGTATTGATTCAATTTCGAAAATTCATAAACTGACAGCGTCATACCAATTTAATTGTCACTATCGCTAATAGCGACCTACTAGATAGATCAGTTTCGTATTTTCGCATTTATGACGATGTATCTCTGTAGTTCTTCTTGAAATAATTTTTTGCTGCGAACTGGTTTATTTTAGGCAAAAAACCCAATGTAACAAAAAGTTACATTTGAAATAAATTTTAGGGGTTGCGTTTTCCACCCCTTACAACCATGGAGTGAACCAAATGAATTTCTGACTAAGTTTCTTTTAGGTAGAACAAAACGTCAGGTTAATTTTATATTGTAACTTTTTTAGTGCTTGTGAATAAAATTGTTATACAAATTTTATGTACCCCCTTTAAGGGGCTGTATCTTAACAAGGGATGCTCCAATGGAATTTCTTTATATGAATTCAGTTACACCCTGTATACATCATTTTGTAGATTTTTGAAAAATTTTCAGCACTGTCAACTTCTCAGAAGTGGTTGATGAAATTTCTCAAAACAGAGCCTATTTGATTAGGAAATTCAAAAAAATCATTTGAAAAGGTATCATAAGAACCCAATTCCATTTAAAATTGACAGAGTCAGAGTTTTTTCAAGAAATACTAAAATTGATGCTTTCCTTTGTGAATTTTGTCCAACTCTGATATTTGGTTTCGTTTGAGAATTAAAAGGGAGAGCGGACTTTCTACGTTCGCACTGTGAACCGAAAACACCTCCTGATCCTGTTAACTCAAATATTCAAGTGCAACAGTTTCAGCTCACACTCATTGCTCCCGTTACATATAATATTTAATCCTCTCAATGCAGCATGCTGTAAACTGAGTAACTTCAGAATAACGGTTGATCCCAGTTTCAAAACTAAACTGACCAAACAGGGCTTCACCAAAACATTCTTATTTATCGTCTAGGGTTCCAACTGGAATATTCCGCTATTCTGAATTTCCGAAAATAGTTTTCTTCTCAATCATAAATCCAGCCAGAGTTCGATATGTTCTAAACGGAAGAGTAGCGAACAAGATATCTCGTTGTTGGGAAAGCTTATCGTTTGTTAGTCTAGTCCACAAGTGATATTTTGCAACTCACGAATTCAACTTCACAAAAAACCAGAATTTAATATCCATTGGATTCGTTATTCCACCCAGAGAAATTCACGATTTGGGATGAGTTCCGCAAACAAAGAAGTTACGTTGTTGAAAATATTTCGAAGTTATTCAAAATTAGAAAAATAATTTTGAAGAGTAAGAAGCTTTTTGTAAAAAGTTCAAACTTCCGAAACGGAGCATCGATACATACAATTTCAATTGCGCTGTACAATTTTATTTGAATAGAATCAGCTGTTCGACACCCGCACACATCAAGCAATGTAGGCTCCCCAACAAATAGAAGATGTTGTCCGAGAGATGACCTATAAATAGTCATCTCTCGGAGGAATCAGTCCAGTCATCACCCGAAGACGATTGTAGATACTAACAATCGAAACGTCGTGAACTAACTTGACTTGATAAGGCAAAATGCTTGATGCGCATCCGTGCAAGTTTTCGTATTTGAAGATTGGTCGATATTTCTTTATTCAGTAATCGTATTAATTTTTATATTTATGAACTTGGAATATTGAAAGATAGTATTGTAAATACTGAATTTGTTTTAGAATATTGAAGTTGAGATTGAAACATCTTTCAATTCATGTACTTGCTTGAATGGATTTGAGTTATTGCATGATGATTTTCTATATTTGACAATATCAAAACTGATTTGAAGTGGACCACTTCGAAGGGAACTAAATAGAAATTGATGGATGGATAAATATTTTTTTAAAAGAATGGAAATTCACCTCATTTTTTGAAAAGACAGCGTAGTTTCACCACTCAACTGAAATAATAAATATAGATGCTCGAGTTCCCAGAGGTATGAGTTTCACGGTGAAATTTTTGCTCTTCAAAGATATTTTTTCAAATTCTTATTGAAGTAATCTATATTTTTCTTCAATCAAATTGTTGATCACTCTCAAGTTCGCGGAACTTTACGCATATCAAAATTCACTCTGAGTGAAATTGAGTAAAGTCAAACTCGAAAATTGCAAAATGGCAACAGTCGACTGGACTATACTCCCAGAACTTCAGTCAACTGGCTCCAGGGCGCTCTATTTTATATCACAAAAGATTGACCACGAAATGTGAGTAACTTTCAGATTCCGGTCACCGTTCCATTCCGCAAACTTTGCTGTTCAGAATGCGGATCCTTCTTGATGTCATCTATAGTTGACACTGACATCCTCCGTTCTGTGAGATCCAAAGGAAATTTAAAACTCAATTCGCCTTTGCAAAAAATCGCTGTAGCACTTTCCAGACTGTTTTCCGCACACTCCACGGCTCTTTTGTGCTGCGCTTCTACGTTACGAGAATGCCTCTTCATGCAGGAAATAACAACGAATATCGTTGAAAACGTGGCGAGGACGACGATACAAATTAAACCAACCAAAAGGCTGATTTTATGCTTCGACAGTTTTGGATCGGATCCTCCTTTCGGCTCACAAGTTGAAACGTCTTCAAGTCGAAGACTGGACAATTTTTTGCCTATTAAAACACTAGGCGAGGCACACACCGCACTGTTGAACACGCGAGTTTTGTTGATTCGAAAAAGAATCGAGGTGATATGACACAAACTGCACGACCAGGGATTCCCCGTCAGATTAACTACCTTCATGCTCTCTAGCCTCTGGACAATACTGTCGTTCAGGCCTTGTAGTTTGTTGTAAGATAAGTCTAACTCCAATATTTGTCTAGGAAACGTCAGCGCACTCAAACTACTCAAATTGTTTTTAGATACGTTCAATTTTTTTATCCTATCGGGAATGAATCGATCGGGGAGGACTTCGAGTTTCATGTGAGCAATCTCCAAATGCCACACCCTATAAAGAGTCTGTAATATCACTTTTATTAGACTAAGCGTGAAGTTATTCCCACTTATCACCAGTTTTTGAAGAGAATCCGCAACGTAGGTCAACGCAGAACCCTCCAGCTTGCTAAGTTTATTATAACTAATATCCAGTTCTATCAAACTGGTTAGGTTGAAGAAGGCAGTTTCGGTAATTTTAGCTAAACGGTTCCTTGCCAAGCACAAGTATTTCAGTTGCTGTTGGTTGACAAAACTTTTTTCCAGTATGACCGGCAATAAATTTCCGTCCAGTTTAAGGATGTGCAGTCGGCGTAGATCCTGGAATTCGTCCTCTGCTAAGAATTGAATCTGATTGTTCCCGAGATCCAGATGTGAGAGATAAGGCAGCAAATGGTATAGTTGAGTGTTTATCCTTTTCAGGCCGCATCCACGGAGTTCGAGTATGCGAAGGTCCTGAAAGGAAAAAAATAATGAATGAGCTGAATGGATTCTGTTTTATTGGCTTACATCATTGAATTTCTAATGATTCGTTTGAAATATTCAATTATTCATCGACAATAGGGAAATAATATGACTTTCGGTGAACAGACAGCAACACAACTGGATGATATTTGATATAATTCAGCGGTACTTGAAAAAATGTATTCAATAAATCTCATAATGAAGTATTACTTCAAAGATAACTATGTTATATGAAAGATTTTTTTTGTGAAAGAATCGCTGTTGTCTACTATTTTTGAGTTGACAACTTTTTGAAATCTGTATAATAAAGAATTTGCTACAGTATAATAATCGGAAAACAGAAAATAAGTATAATAATAATAATAAACCTCAGCCAGACAGCAAATCAACACCGCCGAGTATAGCGTCGTCCAATCGCTTTCCGAATCGGAAGGGCGAAATCCCGGCCTTGCGATTCGGAAGATTGATTGACGTGTGCACAAGATGGAGGCTAAGATCACTTCGGCGAGACAACACGCGTCTCGTATCCATTGTGTGATGGATTACAGGGCGGCCAATAAGCCTTTCACGTCCGAAGTGAGGCGAATAGCTGCCAAACTACGACATATCCATCACACTTCAAGTCAAGGCGTACTGCTGACCAATAAACATCACTGCCTTGATAGGATACGAATGTTAGTGGCTGCTAAGAAGTCACTAGTGAGGCGAGAGAGAAGTATCGCGGAAAACCTTAGGTTCCGCGAGAAACCTTCTCGCTCCACGTGTTGTAGATAATTTGCCGACCGCTGATCAAGTGGAACCCTTCTGGAAGTATATCTATGAACACCCGCAGCTACTCAACTTAGACCTCCAGCCCTATAGCGCAGTTCGAATCTTTCAACAGAGACCTTCGACAGCCTGAGCTCAATGAACTGCGCAACCCGATAACCCCGGATGACGTTCGAAGAGCCCTTGTGGGTTCCAAGAACTTTGATGCTTCAGGCCCAGATGGGTTGAACACTTATTGGTGGAAAAAACTACCAAGCACCCACCGCCATCTGGCCTGAGTTTTCAACTCATGGCTGGACGGAAAGCAGCCGATTCCATATTGGTTTGGCGAAGGGCGGACATGCTTGAATTTCTGTTATAAGTTGTTCACAAGTATAATATACACATGAATACTAAACGCAGTTGACCGAGTGTTCGAACGGATATTAGAGCAGAGAGGGTCGAAGAGAGGAGCCGCTGGATGTAAAGAGAACCTGATCATCGATAGATGTGTAACCCAAGACTCTTTACAATATAAGCGCAACCTCTTTATGGCCTGGATCGATTACCGTAAGGCATTTGATACAATTTCGCATGAGCTCATCTTGCATTTGCTCAGATGCCTTGCGGTACCCGACAAAATTATGAGATGCATTGAACAACTTATACCACTCTGGCGAACTCGCTTCACCATAACATTTGGTCCAAACAGTGTGGGTCACTTTCAGAAGGGGTGTATTTCAGGGCGATTCCCTCAGTCCTATTCTTTTCTGCCTCTCAATATTGTCATTATCCATTGCGCTCAGAAATACTCGGCTGTATAACTGTGGTACCCCCGGAAACTGAAGGTACAAGGTTACCCTTTGTTTCATATGGGTGATCTTAAACTTCATGCCTCTGGAAAGAAGGATCTCCATCAGTTCTCGAGGGTGGTGGAAGAGTACACGCATGTTATCGGTATGAAATTCGGGTTAGACAAATGTGCAATGATTCATCTCAAAAGATGACGATGCGGGGACTACGGAGAGGATGTGCAGCTCGTAGATGGAAGCATCCTACACCATCTGGATGCCGGAGGTAACAGCAGTGAAAAACTCTCTCTGCGGCAAGTATCAGCACAAACTTCGACAGATCTGATCATCGGAACTGTCGGGAAAAACAAAGGTGCTGCAACAAATATGCTTGCCGTTCCAATCTTACTCTACTCGTTTTGAGTAGTGAAGTGGACTCGGGTAGAGCTGCAGCAACTCGACGTAAAGACCCGAAAAATGATGCATCTCTATAAGAGTTTGCATCTCAAATCGTCTGTTTCACGGTTGTACTTTCCCCGACAACAGGAAGGCCGTTGAATTTTGAGTTTAGAGTATCTACATGACAGAAGGGTACTGGATACAGCCTGTTAATTCGTTAGGAATTCGGATCCCTTTCTCTGCATGATTCGTGACTGTGAGAAACCAGGAATCGGAGCATTTCTCTTCAGGGCAGCTGCATGAGCAGCTGATGAACTTGGTTTATTTTTCGACACTAAACAAAGTGACTACACCTCTGTCACCGGGTTGGAACCCGTTCAGCAAAACGCTCATATAAAAGCCACAGAGATCACCTCACTTCTGCGGAAACACAAGGATAAGACATTGCATGAGGTCTTCTTCTATAACATTGAAGACCTTGGCTTATCAAAGCGCCTGATGTTCGCCTTTCTCAGATCGAGTGGGCTGAAGTCGGAAACTGAGGGGTTCATCATGGCTTGCCAGGATGGTGTTTTCAACACCTTAGTCTACCTCAGTCGCGTGATGGGTAAAGAGGTTTCTGACACAAGGTGCAGGGCCTGCCGCGAGACCCTAATGCACTTCTTATCAGCATGTCCATCATATGCGGTCTCTACCTATATTCATGGACAAAATGAGACCCTAAGAGTGCTATATTACCATCTTCGTCACTCTTACGGTATTGACGAGACACCGGTGTTGCCCTACGCTCCGGGGGATATTGAATTCGCAGACTCTATCCAGACCACTCTGTCGAAATGGTTGTTCTGATTATTGGAGTCCTTGGTGGAATGATGCCCCCTCTACTGTCGCATCTCAAAATCATACCGGCTTGCCGCACTGAGGCAGAAATCTCAGCCGCACAGATGCAGAAGGCTGCCATTCTTGGCTCACTGCTTGGCTTGCTCAGGGCACATGATATTCGGACACAATGATCACTCACCCCACGGTGTGGTGAGTGGTCGTTGGTTAATAATGCTAGCGCGTCCTCCCAAATGTATCGGGGCTTCGGGGGATAGGGCCTGACCACCGCATACTACGGTAAAACATAATAATGATAAAGGTCTTCATTTCTCATCAAAATGAACAATGCAAAAACTACATGAATTGCATTTCGTGTCGCTCCTACATCCACCGTAATCCACCGTAATCGCAGACCTCAAAAAGTGCTCACCGGTAAGAAATTTTGCTCGAATGGAGTCAACTATTAATTGTCTCCTTGAAATTATGATGTTGAAAATATCTCAATGATGCATGGAACTCAAAATAGATGGATGTGACTCTCGAAGTGAATGTCTGTATCACTGGAGTTATGATGACACTTCGAAATATTTTTGTTGAAAAAGTAGAAAATTGTTATAAAGAAAATTCATGTAACGCAAATGATAATTTGGAAAAAGTTATAGTTAACTGATCAGTTGTCATGTCATGACCAGAAAGAATAAAGGTACTTAAGAAAAAACATGTACTATCGTTAAACTCCATTATTAGAATAGAGAAAGTTAGAGATAAACAAAATAATGATCTTTATGAGAAAATAGTTTACATCCTGATTCTTTCAATCAGTGACACATATTTTAAAATCTATTTTTATCATTAAGGAGGGACAAGTAAGTATTGATTGTTTTGAGACCTCCCCAGAAATTTTTCCATGAAAGGTGCTGTAGTGGTTTCATATTTTGACACTGTCTTGTGAAGTTTTATGGAGTGTTGTGCTATTTTCAATATTTTCATTATTACTTTTTTGTCGTGATTCTGTCTTTGAGGAGTCTGCTAGTTTGGCCTATGTTAAGCTGGTTGCAGTCAGCACAAGGAATTCCATGAACTGTGTAAAACTTTGTAAAATTGGAGTTTTAAAACATTTTTGACGGGGAACTATATTTGGAATGCTTGTCGTAGGGTTTCTTTCAGTTGTACGAAGATTTTTCTATGAATATTCCGGAAAAATATCAGTATTTTCGGTATGATGGAGCTCCGCCACATCGCAGAACTATTTGCAGAGACTTTCTCAATACGAGTATGCCAGAACGATGGATAGGAAACAATAGTATTATCAAATGTCCGACAAGTTCCACTGACCTAACCCTTCTGGACTTTCCATTGCGTGACTTCATTGAAGGCAAGATATTCCGCCCAACTTTTGGCAATTTTGACGAATTGAAAATAACAACGAGTGGGGCTTTTATATCTATAACTACACAAATGCTAAAACATTGCCATAAAAATACTATTACAAGGGCGAATTAGTGTTTGATAAAGGATGGACGGCAATTTGGACATTTAATGAGATATCGTGAACGACGTAGGTGGTATGGAGTATTTTGATATTATTTTTTTATTGTTAATTACTTGGTATAATACATGTTTTTTCCCTTGGATTTTATGTAAGGCTTCGAGTTCTAGACTCAAAAAATAATGGTTCCTACTTCTTTGAGGTAGCTCTGATGAAGGGTTTCATAACGATATAGTGATGATGACAAAAACTTTGGTATTACATAACTGAGTGTGCTATTACAGTGGCTACAAAAATCGATGAAAAAATAGAGATTCGTATGAATAAGTTGATGATGAAGTCCAGTGAACCAAACGTCGCATTGCGAATTGATTTATATCAGATTATAAAATAGTTTCGAGCAAATATTTCAAAAACAACCATAGATATTCTCGATCTGAAGAGAAATTATTCTAGTTCTCCAAAATAAAAAACGTTTGTCCAATATAACCAACCGTGTAGGTTTCATCGTTCAAACGGCCTGTATATTTCAATAAATGTGTATCTTGATTAATTATGGAAGGGATTGAAGGTGTTCTTGAATTGAAACTAATTAGCTGGGTTTTTTCTCTTCTAATTATGTCCCTTTGTTATGAAAAATATATTTTTAAGTACTTTCCGGAGCAGGAACCTTGATGAATAGGGCACTTGCTCAAAAGAATTGTTCGAAATGATAATATTGTGAGTGCGAGTTCATAATGAGA